TTGGGCACAGTCCGGCACAAACACTGCGTCGTTCTTGTGCTCGCCTCGCATCCTCCTGCTCCTCGTCACATGATGAGGCTAGAAAGAGGGGTCAGAGGTTATACAGGAATAAGTGGAGGCGTGAAATGGTCACATAAACACTTGCCGCCTACAAAGACCATTGCATTCACCTAGGTGGTCTAGGTTGTGTGACTTGACAAATGCACACCACAGACACACACAAAGTCACGCACACACACACACACACACACACACACACACACACACACACACACACACACACACTTGAGGTGAAAGAAGAGAGTTTGTTTAAAGTTAAGAATCCCTCCTAATCAGATCTGGCACACATTTTGAATTTATACAACATGCAGTATGTTTGAATTACTTTCTATATCAAAGCCAAATGCACTCTGTGTTCTCTCATTACACTGTAAGCATCGCTAAGATGGAGGTTGAAGAAGACAAAGGGGTGGAGGATGAGTGCTCAGAGACAGTGTGTGTAGACTGTTATATCAGCCCCCGTGGCACTGTTTACAGACATTAACAGGCTAATGACTAAGTACAGCTCCCTATGCCCCCTAAGTTAAGTAAATATTTGGACGCTCCACTGCCCTGTGTGGACGTGTGTGACAGACAGAGAAACAGACAAGACAAAAGCTGAACAGTTTTTATTCGGGCCTTCGCCTTCACACGCCCCCCCCACCCCACACACACACACACGCACGCATGTATTGAAACACTAAAGAAGAAACGGGGATCTGTATGTTTATATGGTTAGAAATCAAGGGTAAAAAAGCACTGCTTTGTGATCCTTTCTTTTATCACAGAGAAGGGAGCGTCTTCGATGGGTGAGAGCCTCAGCGGGATCTAATCAGGCTGGTTCCTGTGCTGCAGCCTCCTTCTGAGATTTGAGCGCTAAACTATTGGATGAAAGTAGAGCTCTTCTAGCCATGAGGGCTTTCAGCTTCAATCTCTCCCTCTCTTCGCGACTCGCCTTGAGGCTCGGAAGCTGCTGCGGGATTATGGATATCCCTTTTCTTAGTTTATTTTCATTAGAGATCTTTACCCACACAAAAGAGACCAAATGAAATGCCTGCCCGCTTTCTCAACTGACTCTCTTCGCTCCAGTTCCTCCGTATGGGCTCTCTTTGTTGGGGCGGGCGCTTGGTTTTTTTCGTCCGAATACCCCTGAGAGCACATGGTAATCAAAACCATCAATGCTGCATTTCTCAGGCTTTTTTTATTGGGGGTAAATTATGATAATTGGATTCACATACAAATGCACGCATGCACACAGGGTTCTCATCCCAAGGCGGGCCTCAGAATAGTGTTGTTTTATGCAGAACGCAACATATTTCCCCAAAGAGACAACAGATCTTTAAAATGAAATAAACATGCATGCGTGGAAGACAAGACCAGAACGGACCAGGCAGAAGAATGGCAGATTCTGTGCTGGTGCCACGGGCTGATGATTTACAGATACGCTGCAACGCAAAGAACCACAGAGGGGCAGACCCTCAAAGCTTGACGCACTCCAACACCAAGACATATTGGTTTCACAACCCACTATCTGTCCTTAAAAGACAGGAACAGCCCCAAACCATGATTGCTCACACAAGTAGGAAAAACACAGAGCGTGCTTTTAGCTGAGGATTGCAAACACCCGATCGGCGTCATTAAAGATCAAGTGGTTTGAGACTCACATGGTGCTCGGGTTCTGTTGTTCTGTCGACTGCGAACCTGCTCCTCCCACAGAGTGGGATACTGGGAAATGATGTCTGAAAGAAATCCCCAAGACAGCTTTATTAGCTTCAATTGAAAACGCACTCATATATCGTATGTGCCAAACCCGGTGGTTCCAAAACTCAGAGTATTAAATGCATATCAGGGTTACCGTATCTCAGACTCCTGGAGTGGGGCGGAGAGGTAATTGTATGTGACAGCTGTGACCAGAAATATAGCAGCAAAAGCTAAGCTACAACTATGAGTCCCCCACTGTCTTAAAACGATCCTTAAAACAATAAATCATAAACCTTAACTACGTAAAAGGCTCAAATGGATCGGTCTCCTTCACATTCACAGAGAGGGATTACGTTTATTGAGCAGGAAATTAAGTCATTGTCTTTGTCGTTTGGACTTTAAATAACATTACAATATACAAACACACCGTTTAAAATGCCATGTACTTATTTTTAAATAATTATAATAATTATTATTATTATTATTAATAATAAGTATCCATTGGATTTACCTCTTTCAGATGCTTCCACTATTGTGTACTATTTTTTGTATTATTAGAAGCATGTTAATGTTATAGCGGCTCCTGCTGTAAGAGCTCACCTTCGTCATCGCCTGCTGGCTGTGGATCCACCACTAGGCCGGTCTCATCTGCATTTAGAATGGAGAATATTTGCAAGGAGACTACAATTATGAGAGTAAGATAGGTCACAGAACACAATGATGAGAGATTTGCACGTTGCCCGTTTTAAAAAGGTGGAGGTAGAAGTAAGAGGTTAGGAGAATGGGAGTGACACAGTGTGTGTGGTGGAAGCTGACAGAGGAGTCTTACAGGGAGAGAGGAAGAAAATAGAAGTATAGTGGTTATTTATCCCCATGGATTCACTCCATGCAAAAGGGAGATCCTTATGAGATGGAGGACAGGCTGAGTCAGTGAAAATGACTCAGGAGAGGATGGTCCCTGATGTTCTTCCCCGTTCTTCCCCGTCCTTCAATTGCCTGCATTTGAGCCATGAGAGCTGGATTCAAGTTTTAGAGACGTGAGAGGTGAAGAATGCAGTAGCCAAGTCCGAGAGCAACCGTTGACCAGTGGGAGAATCAGGCTCAGTGTTTGTTTGGACTGTGTTTTTTTGATTTGCGGTAGCGGGGAGTCTGGGGTGGAGGTCTCGAGCTGCTTTGGGTAAAACCACGGCTGTAGGTGTGGTTAACCTCAATGTGGGTCACTCATTCTGCTTAAACTAAAGCTGTGTTAATGGTGGATTCCTGAGACCTCTGACCGGTGGCTTCACAAAGCCTAAACCTCTTTTTTTTAAACAATAAATTCCAGATTTTTTATTTACTGCACATTCGTTATGCCAGCCATTCATCTTCTCAAGCATGGTCGATGGATAAAAATACAAATGGTCAGTGCAGACTGACTAAGGCAGACATGTTATTACTTTGCTCACTTAACGGCTGGAAATGCCATTTCAAAAAGTATATTTATGATTGGGATTTACGTTAAACCACTAATGACCGATCTTTACTTTGCGGCCATTTACATGACTGTAACACCTCTTTTAGCATCTGCCAGGAAACCCCCGTGCTATTTGTGGTCATACAGCATTAGTTTAACTGCTGTTTGTCAGTCGTCGGCTGAATCCAGCATATTAATTTCTCAAGCACCAGAAATGGGTTTAGGGTAAAGTTTCTGGTGTTTAACATGACCAATATTCAGATAATAAAAGTGCAGACATGGATGCTTTGGTGGGGATGGACCTCTGCTGAATCAAAATATTGATGCAATCACTGCTATTTTCAGTTCTGGCACGCCACAAATCTACAGTTTATTCTGCTTTTCACCACCATGTTTATCCGACCAGCTCAGATTGAACCACAGGCTCCCCGTCACCTCCTTCCTCTCTTTCACCATCGCTTCTCCTCCTTGAAATTTTACATTCCCACTCGATCTGTGTGTAATGCGTTTGCCGGGCTCAGACAGACACTGTACCCGAGACTGTTTACAGAGAGAGAGGCGCAGACGTAGATGTCACACTGACAGGAATAACTTATGTGACAAACACAAGTGGACACATTATGTGCACGTTACCTCCTTCTCTCTCGCTGTCTCACACACACACACACACACACACACACACACACACACACACACACACACACACACACACACAAATCAGGAATCAGGGATCAACGCAAATTAACCTTTTTCTGTGTGAGCCTTCAAATTTACCAACAGTGATACCAATCACCTACAGATGAGACACAGAGATATATATAGTCTGGAGTGGAGCCGGAGGGAAAATCGAGTGCTTCTATATCTGGAGACGGTTGGATGTTGGTGAGAGACAGAGTGAAAGTAGGGTGGAAGAAAAAGTGTTAACATTTCCGTGTATCTTATGACGCTGCTGCTGCAAAAGAACCAAGACCAAGCAGATCAAGTTAGAGTAGGGGAATGATGAGTCAGGTTTCCTTCATTCTGCAGACAGCAGGCGGTTAGAGGCACTGAAGCTCACCACGGCCTCTCCCCCTGTGATTCAGGGACAGACTGCTGGTGTAACATCCTTCAGGCTGCTCTCATACAATTTAAAATTGACAAAATATTAGAAAGGCAAGCCTTAACAGGCGACCCACCCTGCACATCTCCAACACAGATGCGGGCAAACAGACAGAGACAAATGAATATACGCTCGCATGTACATGCATGCATGTGCGCATAAAGGACTCAATGTGCCCTTTGAGAATTATTGTTTCTTGAATTAAAGTCTCACCTGCTTTACCTGGCTCTCTTGTAGTTGCTCTCTCTTGTTTTGAACCTGGAAAGCAACGTGTTCAAATCAGTTGAAAATTCACCACCACACACAATTTTTATGTAATCCCTAATGATAGAACATTTAGAAATCTTAAGCATACTGTTGGCATAATTGGGCCAGATTTAAATCCAGACATGAATGTCTGCTTGAAGAGACTCTTTTTCACCTTATTTTTAAATAATATTATTATTTTTTAAGTGGCTCCAACCACTTACATCGATGGAGATGACTTTTATTACATTTCTAAACTTCAGCAATGATTAAGTAGTGGCAGCAGTTGTGTTGCTGCTTCTGTGTCTTTCTCACTGCATTGACAGCAGCAACTTCCAAGGCCACCCCACGGAGACGCAGAGGGAGCACATGTGGGCTTGGTTATTTGATTGTTTGGCAAACGCTTTCCTCCGAGAACACTTACATTCCTTATAGTTTAACTTTGTTGCCTGTGCAGTACGGATTTTCTACAAGGCTTATTTACAGACGCAGGCCAAAGCCTTGAGCAACGCTCAGTCTCAAACCCTGTGGCCGTACGTCTGGTCCCTGACTACTTTCCCACAGGACTGAATATTACACCCCCTACAAACAAAGAATGTCATGCTTTTCTTTGTTCGATTTGATTTACGGTCATTGCTTCACAAAATGTCAGAAACCGCATTCCTGTACAAATCTGCTACCATTATCGTTTCTGCATGTCATACACCGAACACATTGCAAAACAACATGCTTGTTATAGTGCCCGGAACTGCATATACAGTTTTACCCACCTTGGCATCGAGGTTTTTTATTGGCTACTGCTGAGCCGCTGATGGGCCGACCGTTCGGGGTGACGCACCAACAGTATCCAGTGTAGCTGTGGCACTGAACCTGTAATCAAAGCAGCATGTAAACACGGCCAGCACGAGCTAAAACACAGGTACGGCTTCTGTGACAACGAGATTGGGGAAGAACAGTGTTAAGAAACACATTGATTCAATTCACGCAGCAGAAAAGAGAAATTCTTGCAAAAAAGTGCGAGAGTTTCCTCTTTTTACTCCGTGCAGGCATCATATTCGAAAACAAGTATGATTGAGGTGTTTTTTGTTACCTCGCTATATGTGCCGTCAGGGTTGCACACAGGCACAAAGACCTGTGGGAAAAGCTTCTTAGCCTGCTGCTCGGTGTACTTCTTCTCTGCTACACATCTGGATGTATCTGCCACAAATCACAAGAATCACCGCACGTCACACAGATCAAAGCTTAAAGACCGAAACAAACATGCTCAAAAAAAAGTTTGCTAAATTAGACAAAGATTATGAATCTTTGATTGTGGAACAAAGATTGTGGATCTCACAAATGATGAAGAACAAAAGAAAAACGCAGCGCAGAGAAGAGGGGAAACAATTAAAATCGTTTCGGAAGTGTTAGATTCTTGTGCGGCTGCGAATAGAACCCACACCCCGGTCTTAATAGGAGCAAGCCTGCACAGTGCCTAGTGGTAAAGCCATTACCGAGAGAGGCAGCTCGTGCTGCTCCTGTAGAACATTCCAGTCACCCAAGAAAAGGGCTGATGCACGGGGAAAACCCGACCCTTCCTTAATGTCTCCAATTCGGTCTCAGTCTCCTCTAAAACCTTGACCGTTTCCTCATTTCAGGCCGAGATTCCCTCCAACTATTTCTCAGTATAAATGCGTGTCAGCAACTTCTGACCAATGAGCATCACAAGTGTTCTCGTATCTCTCTGTCTGAGCCACGGCTCATCCTGTCGTCCCACAGCTGCTTTACATCTCCTGACCAGCAGCACCAGCTGTGCAAACTCTCAGGGTTGCGATGGGTTTGATGGTGATTTGGTGAGACACGTTAGCCGTCGCGCAGTGCCTGACTCGCAAAATCGAATCACCTTAAAGTAATGACTCATTAGGAGTTTAAAATTCTTCACCAGATTGGTCAGGGGGCCTCGTGTCGCTGGTATGGCTTACAGTTGTTTGCCGATTGGACACATGCAGTGAAATGTGCAATGGTTTCTCTCAGTCTAGTGTGTGTGTGTCACTGTCACTGGTGAGGAGAGGGGACAAGACGCTGGATGTTCCGGACAGAGCAAAGCAGCAAAGTTAGGAGCTCTAAAATTAACTCCAGTGGAAAAACCCAAAACCATCGTTTTTCTCCAGGAGGCTCCGACCAAGAAGTGGACTGGAAAAAATGACAGGACACTTGAATCATGTGAGCGCAGAGATAGAAAACAAATGTGGTGCCAGTCTCACCATCCTTAAACACAATCCCATCTCTGTGCTTCTAGGCCAGAGCGGCAATCTGGTTTATTTCGGCTGCTGTGTCTTTCTAACCGGCCGTCCAGAAGTAGAGGGGGGTCTGAACTGTCATAGACCCGATGTTATTGACGTATACAATACAACTTTCATGGACTCTTGTCCCTTTCAGCTTCCTAGCTGGAATCCTCTATTCTGTGTCACTGCGCTGTCCGCCACATCCAGATGTCCTCTTGGAGACGTTGCCATAGAGAACTGGAACGGGCATGGGACCGTGGAATGCTTTTGCATCATATCTGACTTCTTTTTAAGCAAACCCCTTAGCTCACACTCTGTGCATTGGTGGTCTAATGTTGTAATGTGTTAGAATGGGGCATTGTTTCCAGTCTGCGGAGCCATGAACCAGCAGTATAGAGTTAGTGATTCGGGCAGGGTGAGAGGGTTCAGGGCTGCAGCATTGGGGTGTGTGGGTGCTTTACTTCCAATGAGGGCAAACAATGAGGGAGTCTGTGAGCCGTCTGACCTCATTGGCTCTCTTTCCCTTTATGCTTTTCATCTCAGTCACATACATAGAGCTTTACATCTAGTTTGATGAAAATGAGACCATTAATTCTTGTCAAGAATTCTACTGAAAAGCACTCGACCTCTACATAATAACTTGATTTCAGAGAGCTGAAGCCATTTCTTATCACCGAGGAAGCCGTTAGTCCAATGATGCCGTTATGTACTTCTGACAAAGCATGAGTGAATATACCAATTTCCAACAAAAGGAATTCATGTAGTATTTTGACAAGACGATCGTACATTTTCTTTAAAATGGGGTGAAATTGTGAAACCGGCCACTCGCCCCGTCCACTCTCACTGTGTCAACCCCACTCGCCCTCCAAGCACTCAAAGAATCAATTATGCTGAAATGAATTTAACCCACTGGTTTCTACTGTGACCCCCTCGGCGCATTTGAGAGCACCAGGCGGCGCTGAAGCGTGACTCATGACCTGACCTTTGCATGGCCCTCGGATGACCTCCAGCTGGGGGTCACGGCACTTGGCTCGGAGGAACTCGCAGCGAGATGTGAACGTCCTGCCGTCGGAGGCGCAGAGGGGCTTGCGAGGAGCTCCGCTGCATTCCATGTTGCACTCCTTATCCTGATCCACCCGCAGGAACTACAAAGGAGAGAAAGCAGGAGATAAGCAGAGAAAATGTTGCCAAAATTTGACTATTTTTGGCCGAGCTCTGCACAAAAAAATTTTTTTTTCCACACTCATGGGTGTCATTCTAGAAAGAATTTGTGTTGGATCAAATATCTTGATAAAAACAGGCTACCACACCAGAGAGTTGATGCAGAAACGGGTATCCGTTACCAAACATACAAATTGTTAATTATGTTTCAAGATGTTTTCATGAATAGACTGGATGAATGTTACAACACACGAGGATGAGTCAGTGTCACTGCAAGCCTGTCAGGGTGCAGCCTGTCTTTGTCTACCGAGCCGGAGAAAATTTGACTGACTCTTCCTCTGTGCCAACACCTGTACGGGTATTCACCTGGAATTGCCCCTGACGACGTTCTACTCAGCCGTGAAAAAAGAAACAAGGCCGGAGACTCCTGGCTGAACGCATGGGATCACCTGTGTCAATGCCACCATTGTATCGGTCACCGTGTGTATGAAACCCCTCGCCAGGCCACACAATGGGAAGGCCGTGGTGGTGAGGGAGGGGGGCGAGGGGGGAGATCAAGCTGTGACTGCTACCATGAATGAAAAGACGAGTGAATGACAGAGTGGCTGAATGAAGTAGATGTCAGGGTGCTTTGTGCTGCTACAGTGCAAGTGTTGGGTTTTCATAAAGTTTGGGTGATTCATTCAGTTCGGTGGAATAATGGCCTGGGGTGAGTGGAGAAGAACAAACTCTACATCCATGCCTGTGCAGGTGCTGTTTTCAGTCCTTTTTGAAATCTTTTTATTTTCCTGTATAATGAAAATATTTGCACATGTGAAAGGCTGTCATTTTGCTTTCAGTTCTGATCTTTTGTTTAGTGGCTTTTGTTCAGTTCACAGCGGATCCACGGATTTTCGGACAGATCTGTCTGAATGTGCTCTCGTTCAACTATTGACAGCAGAGACAGGGACGGACAAAGCTTTCTCTTTCTAACACACTGAAACACGCACAGTCTAAGAGAGTCTAAGCCCTCAATTAAAGCAAAGCCATAAAAATATGTTACCAGTCATCAAAAGAAAGGGTATGGGAAGATAGATAGCAAGAAGAAAAGAAAAACACACACACACATCCACAAGGAGGGCAGGTCACCAATAAAAAAAGGATTTGTTGTGTCTGACATCTTACAAATGATGTGAGAGATGAGGTTTGGTGGCAGCCCCCCGCCTTCAGACGAGAAGGGCTGCAGGGCGACATGCACCTGGCAGGGAAGGCAGAGTTGCCCGGGGGTGGGGGGGGGGGGGGCACTCTGTCAGCCCACTGTCAACCCTACTCATAAATCTTGCAGGGTGGGGGGGGATCAGAGAGGAGAGGCCCGTTCAAACACATCGGCAAGAGAAGAGCCGCGAGGGAGGGAAGATGGGTCTTTGGATTCAATTCAACTGAAAAGAAGAAAAAGAAAATGTACAAACTTTCTTCCCAGGCTTTTAAAAATGATGTGTTGTCATGAGAACTTAAAATGTATCGTGGCACTGTTGCTTACAAGAACAGAAATAAGGAGAGGAATCCCCTTCCCTCCTTGGGGAATAACATAATAGGAATAGTGAGCGCGGTTTTCCGCTGCTTAAAGGGAACTCGTGAAGAATTGTTTTTATTCTCGGAAAAGGAAAGACTTATAGCGTAGTCTACAACAACAAACTAAATATTTGTCTTGCGTCCCTTTGGGTGTTTGAACTCCCGAAAAGGTCTTGAGATAAGTCTGATGGGTTACAAGTCAAAATGCTTGGGACAGCTTCGCCGCTTTGACAAGAAGTTTGCTCTCCTCGCTTGTCATTTCATTCCTGACGGAGCTGCCTCTTCATAACATCTCTGGGGTTACTCATTTCATATGAACAGGGGGTCTAAGATCTTCCCGCCCCCCTCCTCGTTCCCTGCATTATTTGCATTAAACCGTCTAACTGACCGTCTCCTGTCTGTACTCTGCCTCCTTCTCCCTTTGTCCTTCTGCGGCGAGGACCTCCGCCCCCCTTCCGCCCTGTCGCTCAGACCTCAACCCCTCACAGAAAAGTCCAGCTGGCGTGCCAGGCTGTTCTGAGGATGCTTTTTGCAACCACCCAAAGCTAGTCACTGCTCCGATAGTGTCCGAGTGCGTCCAGCCATGCTTGGTGGTCGACCGCCGGCCTCGCCACAGCTTGCGCTGGCCAGCCCAGTGCTCACACTACACCAGCATTGGAAGCGTCGGCGCCTACAAGGCAGCAGACTGACGGCCCGAACTGAGTCATTCAGCAGCCCAGCATCCTGCTAGATGTCCGCTGTACAGCACAGCGCCCGGTGCCTGCAAGCTTTGCGTAAGAGCTCCAAGAACACTGTGTGGAAAAAACATGAAATCAGCCACCCAGATTCACAATCAGACAACCAAGTGTTTATTTCACAGCCACACTTGGCCACACTGAAGGAGGAGAACAAATAAGATGTGACGGCCACGGCGAGGGGGGGAAGCGTTGGGCTCATGGTGTGTTCCTCCTGTGCACTCGTTCTGGTGGTTAGCCGTCTCCTGCAGAGCTCTGTGTGTTTGGGCTGTGGTGATGGATGGGCAAGGCCGAGGTAGAGAGAACTGACATTCCCCCGATGTCTCACTGCAGGCTCTTCAAATGCACAGCAAAGCGGTGGAGTGTGATGGATGGCCTTCACCTCAGCTGCAAGCGGCAAAAGCTTCCACCCCAATTTATCAGAAAAGACAGCACACCTACTGTGACTCAAATTCATGTATCGCTCACGTACTTTTCTTGTCTACTTCCAAGCAGCTGGCGCACACTCTGTTTTTCTTTGTCTTTATTTGGCTCTTTTCCTTTCTTTTTTTCACTTGTGTTGGAGCTTTCCTTCTTTGCTTTGCATGATTCCTCTTGCAAGATGCTTTCTGCATCTGCTTAAATAATACAAAAGGTTGGCAAAAGAACAAGAGGCAGGCGAGCGAGGGCGAGACTGGCGCAGTCTAAGAGAAAGTGCTTTTTTTTTTTTCAAGACCAACCAGCATACAAATCAAATCCAATTACCCCCCCACCTCCTGCCCCCCCACCCCCCCGGCTCCGCAGCATTGGGGGATTGAATGGAGAGCGCAGGAGGCAAGCCTCCAGCAGAGAACACATTGTAGGCCGATAAGGGCCTTCTTGGCTGGGAGGCCCCCATTTCCAGTGCCCCAAGAGGCCCCTCACACCACGGCCCTGCGGGGTCAATGGGGGCCCCAGCTGGGAGCCGTGGCAAACGTGTTAAATGGCTGGCGCTTCCTGCGTGGACGCTTGGATGCAGAGGGGATCATTAGTTTCCAGCATGGTGGAAAGCGAAGAAAGTGACAGCCTTCAACCAGGCTACTAACTCAATCAAAGGAAAGGGCGTTTAATTGCTGTGAAAGATGGTAAAAAGAAAGAGATGTGGTGTTAAAGCCCACTGAGAGTCACGAGACAAAGGAAATCTCTCTGAGCAGGTGCATGATTTCATGAAGGCATAGGGGAGCAAAGGAGGCAATATCTTGTGTTTAAATAGCTTTTTCCAGGTTTGAAAGGGACGCAGGCGACTTTTTGTGCTCCCTCATCTTTTCATAAATGATTTCATACTTCTATAACCACGGGGGAAATGTCTGCCTCATGAATAACCTGGGCAAATATCCCATATACAACTGCCCGTTCGACCTCAAATATGCACAAAAACCAACCAGTAACCTCTCCTGTGTAATTAATACAATGAGCCATGAGTCACCCACAAGGCACTGTAAAACGGACAAGTGATGCATGTGCTATTCCAATAAAGAAGGTCTTATGAGACACAGTGGGGAGGACACATTTTCCACTGAAACTTGAAATAGGGACGTTTGTCATCCTCACAGAGCACATGTGGATGTTGGTTCATATTTCAAACACATAGTTGCATCTGTGTAACCTTTGCACATACTCCTGCTAGATTTACTACCCATGGCATCTCAATAAAGAAACCCATACTCTGTGTGAGTAAATGTGTGCATCTTGGTGAAAATAAGGGGGAGCATCTGCTCAGTACTACTCTTCCTCCCACATTCCACGACTCCATAGTGCCGTCAGGGAGAAAAGGGTCTCCGAACCTTCACCTGCCAGTTCGCAGCTCATGGCCATTTGTTTCCAATTGTATATTAAGGCATCCTCACCCGAACCATAAATAACGGCGGAGGGGGAGCAGCTGTCACATCGATCTCTAAATCAAGGGGAGAAGCCTCTGACATTGTGCACATTCCGCTCTCTATCGCTCCTCCATCAGCCCTGTACCTGCACTTGATCGCGGACACAAATCCCCCTCGTCCGTCTTTAAAGATGCACCTTCTTGTGCAGTTTAAGGGTCAATGGACAGGATGCACTCTGCTGCTGTAAACAAAGCCATGTGCCTTGGTGTAGCAGACCTTGCAGAGTAGCCTCTACTCAGCCACCGGCATAGGACAGAGAGGGGCACAAGACACCTACAAGGCAAAAAAAGGAGACCATGGTGGTGCTGCTACCAGACCAGTGACACTCAGAAACACACAGTTTGCAACTCAGAGGGAACACAGAGAACACTATTTTCTAATGCAAACTTCTACCTCGGGTCTCATCTATCAAGTTAACTGGAAAATCAGTCTTATATTCAGCCTGAATTCCCGCCAGATATGAAACACATTGAAAAGGTAAAAGTATCTTCATGTGGAAACAGAATGCAAAGTAAGTTGTGTCAGTTAGTAAAGCCTATAATACGTATTGCGTAATGAATTTCTTGTTTTCAATATGAGTTTTCATGAGGAACGAACATCACAAGAAAAACATAAATGACAGTAACTTTAAAAATATCTATTAATAAGTACATGGCAGACGTTCGAATGCGTCCCTTTTACTCAAGTACTACGCATACCCATACCCTTCACTTTAAACCTCTCTTTTTTAACGTGCCCATTGACGACACGTGTTCTTGGGAGCTTTAAGTGGCTCTTCCTACCGTGAGAGCGGAGAACTTTTGAGTGCGTCCATCACGCAGCAGACAGAGGAAGACCAGCAGCGGACAGACGCGCATCCTGACGCAGCGTGCAATAAACTCTCCAGATTACGCACGGTCCGAGATTCACTCTGCCTCGTCGGGATTTCACCGCAACACTTCTTTGGAAGTCGGAGTCTAAATCGTTTTCAAAATCCAAAGTAGTCGTAGCTAAAAAGAAAAAAAGCTGTCACTGGTGGGGTCGTTGGTTTATTTCACTTCGCCTCCTTGGCTTGGTCTGCCAAACCGTTGGTGTAGACACTCTCCTTATTTCTGGCAGTGCGATGAACCCCCCCCCACCCCGTGTCCCTGACCTTCCCCCCTCCCTCGGTGTCTCCTCTCCCCTCAATCTAATAGTACTTCTTTCTGCACGCTCCCTCCCTCCACATGTAGATCCCTTATCGGATGCCGGGAGGTAGATTTAGAGGGACTGCGTCTGCTGCTGGTAGCGGAGGCAAACAAGCCTTTCTCACTTTAAAAAAAAAAGGTCGTTTTACTTTTCTCTCTCCTTTAAAGAAAAGCGGGTTGTCCCGGAGGACCTTGAGATGATATTACATTGGCAAGGACGGGAGGAGAGCAGATAGGCTTCTGTCTGCTTGGAACAAGAAACAAAGTCTGCGCTCAAACTCACATTCAGCAACACTCCCCCTCACACACCTGCGCGCACACACACACACACACACACACACACACCTGCGCACACACACACACACACACACACACTTCAATTTGGTGCAACAAAAGTCGCATGGTTTATAAAAGCATTCTCAAAATAGAGAAACGATGTTCTTTAGGACAACAACACACAAACGACTAAATACTGTAGCGGTATTCCCCCGGGATCGATTTAAATGTGGTTGGACATCAACTCCCCAAGTTAATACAACACGAGTGGGCTCTGATCAATATTAAGTCGGGATTTTGAGGGATATGAGCAATTGGCCATTTCTTCTTGATGCTCTTCTCGTGTGACTTTTGTCAAGTTCGTGGCCATCCGAGCATCCGAGTACACGACCCATGGCTGTAGCGCCACCTAGCGGGGTTCACGAGTCGTTACAATGTCGTTACAGTTATTCAATGTCGTTTCATCAAAAGACGGTGCAAAACCACCACATAAAACAACCCTGAAATATGCAAAGGTGTTAGAGAGAGCTTAGCTTGCAGGAGAGTTATTTTTCTGCAGTTTGGAGAAAATGTAACTGGAATGTCACATCTTCACCACAGAAATGAACAATAAATCCTTCATTGTCGACACTCCTCTTCCAACACAACTTTAAAAGAATTCGACTCCCTCACTGCAAAACGTTTCGAGGTTGAAAGACTCCATTTCCCACAATGCCTCGTTGTATCGTGTGTCACACGTCATAGCTTGTTCTTTCCGCCGATCTACTTCTCTCAGTCGCCAGCTGCGTGGTTTAGCTGCGTGCTAACGGAGTACCGATTCTCGTTAATCCCTCCAGTGTATGAACTTGGGATAATAACTAACACAATGTCCTACCAGGAAGAGGAAGAAGTGAGTCCACGTTGTTTTTCCTTCCAGGGATCTGAATACGTTCGAGTTAGTAACAGTGTCACGCTCGGTAGTGTTAACCGGCTAGCTAGCTAGCTAGCATGCCTCCTTCGGCTCATCAGTAGCTTTCGATGAGACAGCATGATGGTAGCTAACTGTTAGTAGCCCTGTTTCTACAGAGAATGCAACACGTATACATCACTTTAACGTTATGCACTTCGTGTGAGGTACAATATAAGGGTTGAGGTAAAGTAATGACTGTCGGGTTGACATATATTCTCTGCTTAAACCCCGATTTCCTCAGTCCTCCGTTCCGGCACAGTACGACCCGTACGCCTTTTCAAACGACGCCGACCTGCACACCGGTTAGTAAACACGTGACTATCTAAATGTATGCGATCACGCGTCAGAGTCCACTCCTGACCCTCCCATCTCCTTGCAGGTGACCCTAAAGTAGACCTGGCCTATGAGAGGCAGTACGAGCAGCAGACCTACAGCGTCATCCCCGAGGTGATCAAGAACTTCCTGCAGTATTTCCACAAAACCACCTCTGACTTGATCGACCAGAAGGTTTATGAGCTGCAGTCCAACCGAGTGTCCAGTGAGAGCATTGAGCAGAAGATCTATGAAATCCAGGATGTGTACGAGAACAGGTAAAGTTGAATAAACCTTTTCCTCTTACCAGATACTTTAAAGGTGTGTGTGTGTGTGTGTGTGTGTGTGTGTGTGTGTGTGTGTGTGTGTAAATGAGATGAGCATCTCACCTTTTCTTTTGTGGCCCTGTTCAGCTGGAACAAGTTGACCGACCGTTTCTTCAAGAACTCTCCTTGGCCAGAGGCGGAAGCCATTGCAACACTCGTTGGCAACGGTGAGTTTATCAGGTCCTCCCAAAACACCCTCATGTGGTTTTGTCGCTGTGTTTACTGCGGTTCTAATTGACAGTCCTCTGTTGTTTTTAAGGCGGATTTCCAATGAGTGAGTAATGAGTTCATCACAGTGAAGTTCACCCGCGTTCATTGTTTACTTGTTGTCTCCCCTAGATGCTGTGTTCCTCATCCTCTATAAGGAACTGTACTACCGACATATTTACGCCAAAGTCAGCGTGAGTAAAGGCTCAATGCAAAGATATGTCTCTCTCTCTATATTACTGGACCGAAATGTGTGAAAACATTTTCTTTTTTCAGGGTGGACCAACTTTAGACCAGAGATTTGAGTCGTACTACAATTATTGCAACCTCTTCAATTACATTCTCAGTAAGTCACCAGAAAAGTCCTTACCGTTTCCACTAACCTGCATTAATCTGTGTAAAATATCTCGCAATTAAAGACGAGTCATGTGAGAAAATTCCTGATTTATAAACAGATGCTGATGGCCCCGCCCCCTTGGAGCTGCCAAACCAGTGGCTCTGGGACATCATTGATGAGTTCATCTACCAGGTACGGTGCTGTGTATTATTTTTGTATCTTCTGTTCCTCCTTAACGTGAGGACAAGCATGATGTAATAAAAACCACAGAGTTCATCTACAGGTGCCACCACATGAATGGCATATCAAACTTGTTTTCTACGCTATGGTTAAGTTTTTAGTGGACATTGATATGCCTCGTGTTGTTAGCGTCTCCTGTAGCACAAAGAAAGTAGGTTTAAATTTAGTGGGCATTTGAATATCATTTCAATCTTTCCACTGCAGTTCCAGTCCTTCAGTCAGTATCGCTGTAAGACGGCCAAAAAGTCAGAGGAGGAGATTGAATTCCTGAGGAACAACCCAAAGATCTGGAACGTCCACAGTGTCCTCAATGTCCTCCACTCCCTGGTGGACAAGAGCAACATTAACCGCCAGCTGGAAATCTACACCAGTGGAGGTACAGAAGAAGGTTTACGGGCTACTTGTTTGTCGAAGAGGACGGGAGTAAAATATAGTGAACATAAATGTTTTATAAATGTGGAATTTCTACATTATGCCGGTTGCATTGTTAAAGTTACTAAAATAAGGTTCCCTGAAGATGTTTTCTCCCGTAAATTCCTTCATTTTTGTGTGTAACTTTGAGACTTCAGTGCATTCGGTTTACGTCTAATAAGAGTGGGCTACCATGTTATCTGTTGTGCTGAAGGAGACCCAGAGAGTGTGGCTGGAGAATATGGCCGTCACTCCCTGTACAAGATGCTGGGTTACTTCAGCTTGGTGGGACTCCTGAGGCTCCACTCTCTGCTCGGGGATTATTACCAGGCCATCAAAGTCCTGGAGAACATTGAGCTCAACAAGAAGGTAAAGGCACACGTGTCCCTACTTCTAATAATGAAACAAACCAACATGCCACAACCTGTATTTTCCTCTTTTCTTGTGCATGTATCCAGTTGGTTTTTAGGCTGGTCCCATGAGCGTTTGTTTCTTGTCTTTCAGAGTATGTATTCCCGTGTACCCGAGTGCCAGATCACTACATATTACTATGTGGGTTTTGCCTACCTGATGATGAGGCGCTACCAGGATGCTATTCGAGTCTTTGCCAACATCCTGCTCTACATCCAGAGGACGAGGAACATGTTCCAGAGGTCAACGTATAAATACGAGATGGTCCGTGAACGCCTGAATAATAAACATCTGACATTTTCATTCAGATGATCAAGCGGTTATAGTTGACACCAGTGCTATAATACTATGCATACATGTTTTCAGGTTAACAAACAGAATGAGCAGATGCACGGCTTGCTGGCCATCGCCCTCACCATGTACCCGATGCGCATCGATGAGAGCATCCACACCCAGCTGAGGGAGAAGTACGGAGACAAGATGCTACGCATGCAGAAAGGGTAAGAACAAAAGTCATCTGAACTTCGGTGTCTGTCTTTTTGATTCTTGAATGTTATGTAATGGTACTGTAGTGAACAGCGCAACATGTGTATCTTTGCCTGTGGGTCTGAGCATTGGGCTGGGAAATGTCTTTGTTGACTCAATTTTTTTCCATGTCAGAGACCTGCAGGTGTTTGAGGAGCTGTACAGCTTTGCATGTCCCAAGTTCCTGTCACCCGTGGTGCCAAACTACGAAAACGTCCACCCCAACTACCACAAAGAGCCTTTCCAGCAGCAGCTGAAGGTCTTTGCAGAGGAGGTGCAGCAGCAGGCCCAGCTCTCCACCATCCGCAGGTAGAGCGTACTAACTTATGTGGTCCCTTTTGCTTTTATGCACATCATTGAGTCGAACCCACGCTGATATTTTGATGCTCTTTGTCCTGCTTTGAACTGGGAAATATATTATAGTCATTCTCCTGGCCCCTCAAAAGAAACCGGCTGACTTAGACGTGGCTCCAGGTGTTTGTACATGTCATCTAAGGCCCTGCGTGTGCTTGCAGCTTCTTGAAGCTCTACACCACCATGCCAGTAGCCAAGCTAGCAGGTTTCCTGGACATGACTGAGCAGGAGTTCCGTATTCAGCTGCTCGTCTTCAAGCACAAGATGAAGAACCTGGTGTGGACCAGCGGCGTTTCAGCTCTGGACGGAGAGTTCCAGTCGGCATCAGAAGTGGACTTTTACATCGACAAGGTGTGTTAAAGTGTCCTATATCACAAACAGTTCAAATAGGATGTCATGTGGGCAGATGGGCCGTGGGTTTGGTTAAAATGATGTTGTGATGCGTCCAAACCAAATGCAACGCTGGATTACAGTCAATGCACAGCCGCCATGAAACTGGAGCCACGCAAAGCTGCCATAATGCGGCGCGTTGAAGCGAATACAGGCGGCGTCGCGTCAAACCGCGGAATGCAGCAAACAAAATGGCGTGACGCC